CCATTTCTTTGTGTCTTCCTCAATTTCTTTCATGAGTATTTTAGAGTTTTCTGACTGCATATAGATCCTTTGCCTCTTTGGTTAGATTTATTCCTAGGTATCTTATGGTTTTGGGTGCAATTGTAAATGGGATCGACTTCTTAATTTGTTTCTCTTCTGTCTTGTTGTGGAGGGCAGGGGCATTTTTTTCATCTGAATATCAGTTCATCATCTGTTGTTTATCACCATTAAATACGTCAGGCACATAGAGGACTTACAAAATGCTTATGGGTACAATATACAATGTAAATTAAATATAAAAAAGAAATTCAGTAAAATCACCACAAATGTGCCACAAAGCTAAGTGACTAAGACAAAAAAGAAAAATAAGTGATACTCTTAGGTTTAGTTGGTAAGTTATCCCCACTCCAAGATTGACTCTAGTACCTGCCAGCAACCAAGCTGTCTTTATACAATGTCACCACCTAGTGTCCAAAATGGAGAAACATCTGGAGCAACATCTTTCCACATCTCTTGCCTCCAACAAGATTATGTACAATTTACAAATCTAATTCTCTTTTCCTGTCTACATTCCCCTGTTAATACAGCATTCTGTAGGACACTTTCCCTCTATAACCCCCATACTTACCTTAAATAAAACATGTGCAAATGAATTCAACCATTACCAAATACAGTAGAGCTTAAACAAATGTCAGTGCTCTTTCACATCTTCTCACTTTATCTTCCTTTCTCTTACAATTCTTAGCCAGTTATCTCTCTCCCTCTCTTTGCTGAATTTGAGTGATAAAATTACCATATCCATTCTCTATGGATAAGCAAGAGTTATGGCCAAGATACTATCTTCAAAGATATCCCACAGTATCCCTAGCAAAAGACAGAAAGTCTCTCTCTCTACTCCAAATTTTCTGAAATCGACAGAAAATACAATTGTATATCTGAAGGGGAAAAAAAACCCACTGGTTTTCTTTGAAATTCTTTTGAAATATGAGGACACACCCTTATGGAAGAGAGGAGTGGTGTTTAAGTATGGCTGTCATTCATCAATCACAGGAAGAACAGATC